TCGACTCCAAGCTAAAACATACTCAAAACATCATTTCGTAAAATATATATGCATGAATATGAAGACATGAGAATGGCTAAGACACATGAATTCGTAGAATGAACCATGAAGAACTAAATACCTCAAGCTAGAGTGGGATCGGAGGGAAAGAGATGAGGATATTAGGACATCATATCGAGCTCGGCCTCTCCAGTAGAACCCTCAACCATTTGATTCCTCCACAACACCTTTACAGATGCAACTTCCTTGTTCCTCAACTTTCTAACTTGTCGGTCAAAGATCTCAACCAAAACTTCTTCATAAGAAAGACTTTCCTTTATACTAAGACTCTCTAATGGTACTATAGATGTCAGATCACCAATACATTTCTTCAATAATGATACATGGAATATCAGATGCACTGATGATAAATTGGAGGGCAAGTCTAATTGCCTATCCACCTCAACACTTGATAAAGACCAACATAACGGGGACTAAGCTTCCCCTTCTTACCAAACTTCATTACACCCTGTGAAATTTTCAAGTAAATCAAATCATTAATATCAAACTCAAGATCTCTTCTTCTAACATCGACATAGGACTTTTGTCGACTTTGAGCCATTTTCAACCTCTCTCTAATAAGCTAAACTTTTTCCATAGCCCCATATACCAACTCGGGACCTATCAAAGCAACCTAAAAAACTTCAAACCAACCTATGGGGGATCTACACCTCCTACCATAAAGAGCCTCAAATGGAATCATACCAATACTTGAATGATAACTATAATTATATGCAAACTCAATCAAAGGCAAATAATCATACAGATACCCAAGAAGTCAATAATACACTATCTCAATATATCTTCCAAAGTTTGGATAGTACGCTCCATTTTCCCAATAGTTTTAGGATGAAATGCCGTACTGTGCTTCACACAGGTACCAAGATCTTTTTAGAAAGGCTTCCAAAATTGAGAAGTGAATTGGGTACCACAATCAGAGAAAATGGATAGGGACACTCATTCAACCTAACCATTTACTTTAAATACAACTTAGCATAATCTTCCACTGAATAAGAAACCTTGACGGGAAAGAAATGAGTTGATGCTTAACTTTCACTTCAATTCAAATATTTCCACTTCCAAGAAGGAATACTAATATCTTGGTACAAACCTTCCATTTTTTTATGCTTAACTTTCACTTGTTGAAAATTAGGACAGTTAGCCATGAATTTTGCAGTATCCTTCTTCATCCCATTCCACAATAGACCTCCCGCAAGTCACGGGACATCTTGATGGACCCGGGTGAATATAATAACTATAACTATGGGCATTCAATAAAATTTGTTCCCTCAAATCATCAACATTGGGAACACACAAGCAACCTTTATATCGAAACACACCATCTCCCCCCTTGGGAGAAAGTCTCAACAGACTTTTTAAGCACCGCTTCTTTCAATTCAACCAAAATTAGATCAAGATTTTTCTTGGCTTTCACATCGGACACAAAGGACGATGTCGAACCATTTTTAACCACAACACCACCCTCATTAGAATCAAGCAAACAAACACCCGATCGAGCCAATCTATTAATATCATGAACCAACTCCGTTTTATCATCCTCAATATGTGCCACACTAATCATTGAAAATCGACTCAAGGCCTTGGTCACCGTATTGGCCTTGCCTGGTGATAGAGGTCACTCATGTCGTAATATTTCAATAGCTCTATCCACCTTCTTTGGTGACGATTTATTTCTTTTGATTGAACAAGTATTGCAAACTTTTGTTCTCGGTAAAGACATCGACATCGACACCATACAAGTGAAGTCTCCAAATCATTAGAGCGAATACCACTGCCGTTAACTTCAAATTATGAGTAGGGTAGTTCTTTTCGTGAATCTTAAGTTGCCTTCAAGCATAAGTAATAAATTTTCTATTTTAATAAGAACACACCCTAATCCAATACTTGAAGCATTACGATAGACAACGAACCCATCAGAACCTTCCGACAAAATCAACACCAGACCGAAGGTAAGCCTATCTTTCAACTCTTGAAAACTCTTTTCTCATGCTTCCAACCATAAGAAATTAACATTCTTTTGAGTCAACGAGGTCAATGGAGAGGCAATAGAACAAAACCCTTCCACAAACCTTCTATAGTATCTGACCAAACTCAAGAAACTCCATATATCTGAATGGGATAGAGGTCTAGGCTAATTCTTAGCCACTTCCATCTTCTTAGGATCAACCTCAATTCCCTTACTAGAAATAACATGTAACACCTCGAGTCCAAGGTGATGAGACCTACGACCGTGGTCCATGGTCCGTAGGTGGAGTTCCATCGTTTGGGCCCAAGATTTAGGGGTCTCTGATCCCACCCACGGCCGACTAGTACGGTCCGTGGTTGGACTGACTGTTGGTGAGGATCGACAATTATTTGGAAAGAAAGGGCTTTTGGTCAACTTCAAACGGTCATATCTTTTAGCACAAAATGAATTAGGTGGCTCATGACCTATCAAATAAAAGATAACTGGGTCCTTTTTCCAATGCCATCATGTTTGCTAAAATCCAAGCTCAAAGTTTAAAGTTATGCTCATTTCAGCAGAGCCCTATTGGGCAGGGCCATAACCATGACCTAGTTGACGGGTAGTGGTTCAAAGGATGGCCCGTCAGTCCCTTCGTGAGTGGCACTTCGTCAACTTTAAGTCAGGGTCATTTTTTGTCTTTTCCCCTATGCGTTGGGCACTTAAACTTCGTCGTTTGATGACTAAACTACGTTGTTATACTAAGTCTAAGCCTAATAATCTAATCAAACATACCCAGAACCTTCATTCTATAATAATCACCCAACTTAGAGGAAAAAAAAGAGGGAAAAAATGACCAGTCCTCTCAAGAACAAGTAGAAGTGTTCTTCAAAGTTCATCCCCAAAATTTGAAGGATTACTCTGTAGGGTTTGTCATAAGGTATGTGGGATTTCACTAGTGGGTTCCTTTCACCCATCAGGTCTCTAGAATTCCGTTAGTTCTTCAGATTCTCATAAACTGTTTAGACCTAGGGTTTCAGAATTTTCAAGATTTATTATGATTATGGTTCCTTTGATCTTAACAACCCGTTTCGTGATAATCTAGTATAATTCCATGCATAGTACTCATAACCCTAGTTTGTGTAAATTTATCCTATTTTATGAATTATACTTGCTAGGCTAGTCAGACAGAAATTAAATCTTCAGATTTTGAATGCCATGTTCTCATCATATAAATGTTGCATTCTCAGTTAGCATGCCAATATTTTAAGCTATTAAGTATTTAACACATTTTAGCTTCATGAATATTCAGTTGGGAGTAGACTTACCACCAAGTTAGACTAGGGTCCTAGAACTACGTGCCCACATAGGTTAATAAGTCCCATATGTTGGGCATCAATTTTAGTGATCATGCCACAGTCATGCCTCTATACCCCTGCCTGGTATATTGGGTCCTCTCAATGAAGCGTATACATTAGACTCCTTGTTTAGCTCACGTTGTTTATGTCAGTTAATTGTAGGTCCTACAGTCAGACTAGTGCATTTATTAGGTTTTCAGCATTTACTTCAGTAATCAGTCAACATGTTATCTTCATGATTAATACTTGCTCATTGCTTTCTGTTTGGTTTTCAAATATACTTCGGTACTTATCTATATTCTTATTCAGATTATATCATTACTCAGTTATGCATTGTTCAGTACTTTGTTCAGCTTAGCATATCTATATCCTACATGCTCAGTACATTCAAAGTACTAACACATACTTTGCGCTACATCATTTCTTGATTTGGTTCAGACACTCAACTTCTAGATCATGCTTAGATCGATTCTTGATTCGACTTCAACAACTTCAGTGGTGAGTCCTCATACTTCGAGGACAATAGACATGCTTTCTATTTTAGTCTTTACTTTTCATTTTCAGTTTTGTTAGAGTTAGCTGGAGGCATGTCCCAGCAACTCAATTCGGTAGAGTCTTTTTAGATATAGTAGTAGATTCAGCTTGAGTTGTTCAGTGTTGTTTCAGTCATCAATTAACTCTTGTTATTTATATTTACTTACAGACTAGTTGGGCTTTGTTCCCTCTTCAAATGTCAATTGATTTAGCTTCCACATAGTACATGTTTTACTTAGTTATTATCAGTATGCTTGATATATGGATGACTAATGGTTAGCATGGGGTCGCTCATGATCCTAGGTCCCGTGTTACGTCTAGGGGGTAGCCTCGGGGTGGAACAAACATAGTATCAGAGCATCAGGTTCAAGAGTCTTAGGGTGTCTGAAATCCGCACTAAGTGAAGTCTCTTTCATGGGTGTGAAGCATGCCACATTTATGAGGGGAAGGCCACAAAGTGTTTTAAGAAAAACTTCACTTCTTTTCATATTCTTATCGTGCGTGAGGTGTGATTCAACCTCTTCTTTCTAATCCATTATTGTACGTTTTAGATCATGCCTCCTCGTAGAGCTAACTCACATAATGCTAATCCCCACAATGTTAATGCAGTTCCTCCAGTCCTGAATCATGAGGTTACAAATGTAATGTTTCGTAACGTGATCCAAATTTTGGCTCAGACATTAGCCAACAAGAACAATCAATAGGCCCCAGTTCCTGTAAACTCCACAGGTAGATGAGGTGCAGCCTGGGTTCGAGACTTTGTTCGTATAAATCCACCATACTTTTTAAGGTCGAAGGTTGGTGAGGATCCACAGATCTTCATTTATGAGGTTCAGATGATTTTTAGAGTAATTTAAGTGACTGGTGCTAAGAGTGTTGAGCTAGCATCCTATCAACTCAAGGATGTTTTAGTTCACGCAGTGGAAGGAAAACAAGGTTGAGAATGCATCTCCTGTGACATCAGATTGTTTTACTAGAGCTCTTCAGGATAGGTTCTTCCCAAGAGAGTTAAGGGAGGCTAAAGCTCAGGAGCTTATGAACTTGAATCAGAGTTCAATGTCTGTCTAGGAATATGAGCTAAAGTTCACTCAGCACTCTAGGTACATATGGTTATTGATTTGAGGGCACAAATGAGTAAGTTCTTATTTGGAATATCCGATTTGGTAAAGACCGATTGTAGGAATGCTATGCTGTTAGGGGATATTGATATCTATAGATACATGACTCATGCTCATCAAGTTGAGGGAGAAACGCTTAGGGAAATGGCTAAGGACAACAAGAAGGCTAGAACAGGAAATTATGAATACTCTCATCAAAGGCAGGGTAGAGGAAACTCTCACAGTTTAAGCAAACATCTACAACCCCAGCACCTTAATCAGCTAGAGCACCGTCCCCAAGTTTGGACAAGATAAATAAGGTAGGGCATCAGGATCTAAGTCATAGGGGAGTGCTTCAGGTAACCGTACTTTTCCAACCGTCCCAAAGTATGGTAAGAACAATCCAAGTGAGTGTTTTGCTGGAAAAGAAGGGTGTTTTGGATGTGGTCAGTTTGGTCATAGGATGAAGGATAGCCATTCTGACATGCAAGGACAAGGAGGTAACAAAGCTCAGTCTACTACTTCAGCAGCTCCACCGGGTCACCCTACTCAGCAGGGTGCCTCGTCCAGTATAAATGGTGGTCAGCGCTAGAATAAGTTTTATGCTCTTTAGGCTCGCTAGGACAACGAAGATTCTCGTGATATGATCACTCGTACATTAAGAGTCTTCCGTTTAGATATTTATGCATTGTTAGATCTAGGGGCTCCAATTTCTTTTGTAACTCTGTGTATAATAATAAACTTTGATGTTAGTCCAGAAACTCTATCATAACCCTTATCAGTCTCTACTCTAGTTGGTGACCCAATTATAGCTAGACGGGTATACAAAAATTGCCCTATCACAGTTTCCAGAAAATCACCTCAACAGACCTTGTAGAGTTAGAAATGGTAGATTTCGATATCATTCTAGGCATGTATTGGTTACATTTCTTTTATGTCTCAGTCGATTGTAGAACTAGGATCGTTTAGTTTCAGTTTCCAAACTAGTCAGTCTTAGAATGGAAGGGTTGTAGTTTAGCGCCTATAGGTAGATTTATCTCTTACCTTAAAGTCATGAAGATGATCTATAGAGGGTATATCTATAATCTCATTCTGGTTAAGGATTCAAACTTTGAAATCCCAACTCTTGTATCCATCCCAGTCGTAAACGAATTTCTAGAAGTGTTCCGAGAAGAACTTGCCATATTTTCTTCTGAAAGGGAAACTCCTGTAAGGGAAATTAACTTTGGAATAGTTCTCCTTCGAGATACACAACCTATTTTGATTCCTAATGGCTCCAGCCGAACTTAAGGAATTGAAAGAGCAGTCGAAAGACCTTCTAAGTAAGGGCTTCATCAGACCCAGTATCTCTTCATGTGGTGCTTCAATATTGTTCGTGAAAAATAAAGACGGTTCTCTTAGAATGTGCATTGACTATCGCCAGTTGATAAAAGTCATAATAAAGAATAACTATTCCATCCCCAAGATTGATAAATTATTCGACCAACTTCAAGTATCCAGTTGCTTTTCTGAGATAGACCCCACATCCGACTATCATCAGCACAAAGTCAGAGATAGTGACATTTCGTAGACAACCTTCAGGACTCAGTATGGTCACTATGAATTTGTTGTTTTGAGTTTTTGACTAACAAACGCTCCTGGATCTTTCATGGACTCAATGAATAGGGTGTTGTAACAGTATTTTGACTTGTTCGCCATTGTCTTTATTGATGATATCTTCATTTATTCTCAAAGTGAGGAAGAGAATGCTACTCATTTGAGATTTGTTTTGGAAACCCACAAATATCATCAACTATTCACTAAGTTTTGCAAATGTGAATCCTTGTTATAGTCAGTCGCTTTCGTTGGTCATGTGGTATCTAGTGACGGGTTCCGAGTGGATTCTTAGAAAATTGAGGCCGTAAAGCGCTTGCTCGGACCTACCCCTCTAATAGTTATTAGAAGGTTCTTGGGTTTGGACTGTCATTACAAGAGGTTTGTTGAAGGATTTTCATCCATAGCTTCCCCGTTGACCAAGTTGACTCAGGAAAAGATCAAGTTTAAGTGGTCAGATGAATGTGAGAAAAACTTCTCAGAACTGAAGACCAGGTTGACTACATCACTTATCTTGACTCTACTAGATAGGTCAGATAGTTATGTGGTTTATTGTGATGCATCCACGGTCAGCCTAGGTTCTGTGTTGATGCAGTAAGGTAAGGTCATAGATTATGCTTCTAGACATCTTAAGGTCCACGAGAAGAACTACCCGACTCATAACTCGAGCTAGCAGCCGTAGTGTTTGCTCTAATGATTTGGAAACACTTCTTGTATGGCATTCATGTTGATGTGTTCACAGATCATAAGAGCCTAGAATATGTATTCACCTAGAAAGAGTTGAATCTTTGTCAGAGAAGATGGATTAAATTCCTCAAGGACTAGGACATGAATGTGCTTTACATTTCCGGGTAAGGCCAATGTAGTGGCTGATGCTCTTAGCAAACATTCCATGGCTATAACAGGGAATGAATACTCTCGTCAAAGGTCGAGTAGAGGAAATCGCTCACAGTTTCAGCAAGCGTCTACAACCCCAGCACCTTCATCAGCTAGCGCCCCGTCCCCAGGTTTGGACAAGATAAAAAAGGTAGGGCATCAGGATCTAAGTCATAGGGGAGTGCTTCAGGTAACCAAACTTTTCCAACCATCCCAAAGTATGGTAAGAACTATCCGAGTAAGTGTTTTGCTAGCAAACAAGGGTGTTTTGGATGTGGTCAGTTTGGTCATAGGTTCATGGATAGCCATTCTGACATGCAATGACTAGGAGGTAACAAAGCTCAGTCTACTACTTCAACAACTCCATCGGGTCACCCTACTTAGCAGGGTGCCTCGTCCAGTATAAGTGGTGGTCAACGCTAGAATAGGTTTTATGTTCTTCAGCTTAGCCAGTACTAGGAAGATTCTCGTGATATGATCACTGGTATATTAAGAGTCTTCCATTTAGATGTTTATGCATTGTTAGATCTAGGGGCTACAATGTCTTTTGTAACTCTGTGTATAACAATAAACTTTGGTGTTAGTCCAGAAATTCTGTCAGAACCCTTATCAGAGTCTACTCTAGTTGGTGACCCAATTATAGCTTGACGGGTATACAAATATTGCCCTATCATAGTTTCCAGAAAATCACCTCAACAGACCTTGTAGAGTTAGAAATGGTAGATTTTGATATCATTCTAGGCATGTATTGGTTACATTTCTTTTATGCCTCAGTCGATTGTAGAACTAGGATCGTTTAGTGTCAGTTTCCAAATGAGTCAGTCTTAGAGTTGAAGGGTTGTAGCTTAGTGCCTATAGGTAGATTTATCTCTTACCTTAAGGTCATGAAGATGATCTATAAAGGGTATATCTATAATCTCATTCTAGTTAAGTATTCAAACTTCGAAATCCCAACTCTTGTGTCCATCCCAGTCGTAAATGAATATCTAGAAGTGTTTCGAGAAGATCTTCCCAGAGTTTCTCCCTAAAGGGAAACTCCTGAAAGGGAAATTAACTTTGGAAAAGATCTCCTTCCAGATACACAACCTATTTTGATTCCTTCTTATAGAATGGCTCCAGCAGAACTTAGAGAATTGAAAGAGCAGTCGAAAGACCTTCTAGGTAAGGGCTTCATCAGACCCAGTATCTCTCCACGGGGTGCTCCAATGTTGTTTGTGAAAAATAAAGACAGTTCTCTTAGAATGTGCATTGACTATCGCCAGTTGATAAAAGTCATAATAAAGAATAACTATCCCATCCCCAAGATTGATAAATTTTTCGACCAACTTCAAGGTGCTAGTTGATTTTCTAAGATACACCCCACATTCGACTATCATCAGCACAGAGTCAGAGAAAGTGACATTTCACAGACAGCCTTCAGGACTCAGTATGGTCACTATGAAGTTGTTGTTATGTGTTTTTGACTAACAAATTCTCCTGGATCTTTCATGGACTTAATGAATAGGGTGTTCAAACAGTATTTTGACTTGTTCGTCATTGTCTTTATTGCTGATATCTTCATTTATTCTCAAAGTGAGGAAGAGAATTCTACACATTTGAGAGTTGTTTTACAAACCCTCAAAGATCGTCAACTATTCGCTTCATTCGGCAAATGTGAATTCTTGTTAGAGTTAGTCGCTTTACTTGGTCATGTGGTATCTAGTGACGGGATCCGAATGGATTCTCAGAAAATTGATTCCGTAAAGCAGTAACCTGGACCCACCTCTCCAATAGATATTAGAAGTTTCTTGGGTCTGGCCTATTATTACAAGAGGTTTCTGGAAGGATTTTCATCCATAGGTTCCCCGTTGACCAAGTTGACTTAGAAAAAGATCAAGTTTCGGTGGTAAGAAGACTGTGAGAAAAAGTTCTCAAAACTGAAGACCAGGTTGACTACAACTCCTGTCTTGACTCTACTCGATGGGTCAGATAGTTATGTGGTTTATTGTGATGCATCCAGGGTCAGCCTAGGTTGTGTGTTGATGCAGCAAGGTAAGGTCATAGCTTATGCTTCTAGTCATCTTAAGGTCCACGAGAAGAACTACCCGACTCATAACCTTGAGCTTGCAGACGTAGTGTTTGCCCTAAAGATTTGGAAACCCTACTTGTATGGCGTTCATGTTGATGTGTTCACAGATCATAAGAGCCTAGAATATGTATTCACCTAGAAAGAGTTGAATCTTCGTTAGAGAAGATAAATTAAATTCCTCAAGGACTAGGACATTAATGTGCTTTACATTTTCGGGTAAGGCCAATGTAGTGGATGATGCTCTCAGCAAACTGTCTATGGCTAGAACAGGGAATTATGAATATTATTATCAAAGGCCGAGTAGAGGAAATCGTTCACAATTTCAGCAAACCTCTACAACCCTAGCACCTTCATCAGCTAGCTCCCCATCCCCAGGTTTGGATTAGATAGAAAAGGTAGGGCATCAGGATCTAAGTCATAAGGGAGTGCTTCAGGTAACCGTACTTTTCCAACCGTCCTAAAGGATGGTAAGAACCATCCGAGTGAGTGTTTTGCTTGTAAAGAAGGGTGTTATGGATGTGCTCAGTTTGGTCATAGGTTGAAGAATAGCCATTCTGACATGCAAGGACTTGGAGGTAACAAAGCTTAGTCTACTACTTCAGCAGCTCCACCAGGTCACCCTACTTAGCAAGGTGCCTCGTCTAGTATAAGTGGTGGTCAGCGCTAGAATAGGTTTTATGCTCTTCAGGCTTGCCAGGAACAGGAAAATTCTCGTGATATGGTCACTGGTATAGTAAGAGTCTTCCATTTATATGTTTATGCATTGTTAGATCTAGGGGCTACAATGTCTTTTGTAACTCTGTGTATAACAATAAACTTTGGTGTTAGTCCAGAAACTCTATCAGAATCCTTATCAGTCTCTACTCTAGTTGGTTACCCAATTATAGCTAGACAACTATACAAATATTGCCCTATCACAGTTTCCAGAAAATCACCTTAACAGAACTTGTAGAGTTAGAAATGGTAGATTTCGATATCATTCTAGGGATGTATTGGTTACATTTCTGTTATGCCTCAATCGATTGTAGAACTAGGATCATTTAGTTTCACTTTCC